ATAAAATCAATGATATATTCTTTCATTCCATCTATATTATCCATATCAGGTATTGGCAATAACTTTGACTGTCTTATGTCCGGTCAGTTCCAGTAGTATTGATTTAGAAATGTAATATTAAATTTATTCAAATTATTATAGCATTAGGCTGTTGTTGTGAACCAAAATCTAAATAATGCTTAGCCAATTTAATATAACAATTTGAAGTCTTAAGAGCAAATTCAAATCATACAATGCAAATCTTTAGTACAAGTTTATTGTCAAATTGATAATCATTAAAAGAACTTTGTTCAGTTAATATCTCTGATGTGATGGTTCCGAAATTAGAAATATTAGTAGCTCCTATAAACTTTTGATTTAACAAAACTCTAGGAATTACTTAAAGAATAATACTATAAATAACTTTCTAAATAACTATCATAAAATGAGTATTGTCAAACTAATAATTTTACTTACCTTTTTTAAATTGAAGATTTCTTTAGAATTAGACAAAATTTTAAGTACAACAATGTTAGATGTTTAGATGTTCTTAATCTTTTAAATATTATTTAACTATATAAAAAATATCAGCATAAGTTCTGCCTATTCAAATAATTAAGTTTGTCAAATCATTATAGCATCAGGCTATTTTTGTAAACTGTAACCCATACAATGTTTAGCAAATTCAATACAGTCTGAAGTCTCAAGAGCAAATTCAAATTACAATACAAATCTTTAGTACAAGTTTATTGTTAAATTGAAACTATCAAAAGGTCTTTGTCTGCTTAATATCTATAATGTGATGGCTTCAAAGCTATAAATATTAGTAGCTTCTATAAACTTTTGATCTAATAAAACTTTAGAAGTCATATAAAGAATAATTATTTTTCTGTTAATATAATGAAAAATCCGAATAACATATCCAATAAAAATTATATCGAAAAGTGGCATATATTTAGAGGATGGAAGCATGGGTGTAAGGTCTGTGATGAATGTAATCATCATTCACACCTATATTGCAAAACGTGCAAAAAAGTAGTGGATGGAATATATAAAGAATGTGTGTGTGAAAATTCTCAAATAATTAGCGTTAAATAAAAATTCGATTTGGTAATACAGTATAATAACAGTGTCAGGATAAATTCTAACCTTACCTGCTCAAAGTACTCAAATAAAATTCCTCGCTTATTAACAAAGCTTTAGGAAAGTTAAAGAACTTAAATATGAATTATTCCGGATCTATAAATATTTCCAAGGAATCAATAAATACCTCGTAGTTGCATAGAACATTAGGTTTCAAATTTTAATTTGACACGTGGTTGTGAATGATTGAATTTCAATAATGCATGTAAACACAGTCGGCGTTGAAGCGTATCCATCTGGTCGAGCGCAGTCATTCGCAGGTGGACACTCGGTCCCTGCTTATCCGATGGATGAGCTCAGTCTTTTCCCGACCTTCAACTTAATACCTAGCAGACGCTTGCGCAGGGGTTGTGATTTTCATATTTAATATGAAAACATCCTCAGAATTCAAGCGAATAAGCTCAGTTTTTTCTGCTCGAGTAAACCAACTGTGTTTCTTGAAGATTCGCTCAGATTCCCTAAAAATACCAGTCAAAAAAAAATTCGCTAGTGTCACGGCGATAACGATTTGGATCTCTAAAATAATAGACAATTGATCGCGTTAGTAAGAATCAAAAAAAAAAAAAAAAAAAAAAAAAATTTTATTAGTATCGTTACTTATCTTGTGCTTGAGAAGGGTCGAATCGATCGATCGACCAGAATAGAGATCAGTGAAAGGAAGTAATTAGTGACGCAGGGATTAGTAATACTAATAATGCGAATCAACGCATAATGGGTAGTCTGCATGAATAATGTAATAGAGTATATAGAAAATGGCATGATTAGTAATTAATAATTTAAAAGTCAAGCATGATGTAATTTGTAATAGTAGGATTTGTATTTAAGAGAAAAGTGGTTTTTACTTGCGAAAAAATAGAACGTTCGTCTTATAATAATAAAGACACGTGCAGGGTGTTGAGGTGGACGATAGTAGAGTGCTTACCGTTGGAGTTAGGTTTTTAGTGACGAAAGTCACTTATTAACCCGCGACACTAGCCAATCAAATTTCGGGATCAGGTATAGCGTGTACCAGTGCGAAATTTTAGTATATATATATATTGTGGGTTTACTATTTACCTAAATACAATAATGACCACGCGTCGCGAAGAGCAAACAATTTACTTTTTAGATCACATAAATCCTCGCCCGTTGAACTTTTTTAAGAAGTTTAGATATCGTAATAGCTCAAATGCCCACCGGGATTACGAATTACGATTAAACCAAGCTTTGCAAGAGGCTCCCGATTCTAAAAAGTTGTTAGTTTTACAAAGGGAATGGGAAAATGGCGAATATGAAGACGACTGGGAACGTTATAAAGATTTTAAAAATGATATAAAAGTCAATGTATGCAGGTCTTTATTTTTATTTTAGCTGACTAAACTGTTATAAAAGCCAAAAATCTTTGAATGTTAGAGTAAAGTAAAAAAATGAAAACGTGAAGCCCATATGTCATTTCATGAGTGATTGGATGATGGAATAGATGATGGTAAACATCTGGTAGGTTAAGTTTTTTTTTGATTTATTTCTATGAAATAATGCTAATCGATTTTTTTTCACTGATTCAGAAACAAAGGAACGCAACTAGTGACAATGATCGTGAAGGCAATAATTCCAATATTTCTCAGGAAAAAACTGAAAGTACGACTGTCAATAATAATGAATTGGCGCTTCAAGTAGCATCGCGGATTACTACGTTGAAAATGAATAATGAACTGGAAGCGTATGCTAAGGAGACCATTCGTGATGATGGAAAAAGATGGACTGTATGTGAAACCGATATACGTGACGTGTTAACGAAATGGAAGCAAGAAAAGGCTTAACCGTGCACTGAGTGAGTATTTTTATAAATACATGTGTTTAAATTTGAACAATCTGATATACGCACATATTGATTTTGAAAATTTTAGTCTAGCGTTTTATGACATCATAGATGTCACACCTATACATGCCACCGAAATAGGTTTTCAAAAAACCTCTATTTTGTCTCCATTAAAGCAATTTAGAATTTTTTATATGTAAGAGCAAATCTAATTTAGGTAGTTATATTCTTTATAATTTCGTCTCTTCAAAAAAAGTGTCAAAAAATTTCGTCTTTTATGTAAAATAGGTTAAAAACAATTTCGTCTTCAAATTTTAATTTCGTACCCTGAAACCTAAAATAATTTTGTCGGCATGTATAGTCACACCAGGTTTGAATAGTGATTTTGTGCGATCATTACTGGATAACGTAGTGCATGAAATAAGACAGTCAAAGTTATTGCCAATACCTGATATGGATAATATAGATGGAATGAAAGAATATATCATTGATTTTAT